TTGGATACCTCCCTCTCACAATTCATTAAGTCGAGGAACATAAAAAAGCGGTGAAATGTTCCATAGAGTTGCTCAACATCTATTAAACCCAATGGATCCACGTGACTTACATACATTGTCTTGGAAGACGAAACGTAGGCTTCCCCCTCTTTAAAAAAAAAAAAAAGAAATACGTCAAAACGGCTGAATCAAAGTTGGTAGATGAAAAAGAAGACGAGCCTGTCGTTTTACGCCAAGGATGACAAAGCAGGAAGGTTTTTTAAAATTACTTTAAAAAAACAACTGTTTTTCTTTTTTCAATTTCAGTGGTCCTCTTGTGGCTGTTCTCATGTCACATAATACCTCTACGGCTCCTTCTTTGTGCAAAAAGGGACATCCAAGTTGAAAAATGCCGTTGATGAGGCAGAGACCGTGGATCGGATTCTTTAGCACAATGTTTACTCGCGACAATGAAGATCCCCAGAAAGGAAGGGCCCATAACTCTGTGCAATACAAGTACAAGGGATCCAAGTTTTGTCCCTTCCCGCCTACAATCCTGAGTTAGTTTCCCATGACATATGGTTATTTCTTATTCTGAAAGATAAGCTTGCTGGACGACGCTTTCAGGACATGCAAGAACTGTAAATTCAGAACTGCGATGCAAAGTGCATACCGCAAGCTGACTACCACTTTGCATCTAGAAGTAGCTGTGGAGATCAAAATTTTGCAAACAAAGTCGAGAAGAATATTTCAAGCGACTTTGGATATTTCAGATCCACAGCATTAAACGTTTCTGAGATACTTTACAACTTCTATAACTTTTTAATTCCCCCTCGTTTGTGTTTATCTCAGAGCTCTGTCAATACTATAGACCAGGGGTATCAAATTCAATTGTACAGGGCGCCCAACTCAAATTAAGCCCATCGGGGCGGTGCCACTGACTGAATTTTTTGCCATTCACAAAAAGGGGGGGGCATTTCTCGTTCTTATACACAGTAGATTGAAATTGTAAATAGGCTGATTCAACAATGTCACTCTCATAATTGTGCCCTTACTACAACAGGGAACTACTGCTTTTTCTTTCCTAATCCTTACTATCGTCATTTCCTCTACTTTTGGTATATTTGTCATACTATTGTGACCCGCTATTTCCGAGGTGCCTTGATTGTCGAAGCAGACTTTGTGCTGTTGAAGCTAGAGAGGTGAGCAGAGTAAGCTTGATTCCCTGTAAAGACCTCTCTGTTGACATCCACCTCTTCACGCTCATATGACCTTATGCAGTTGCGAGCGCCGCAAAACCTGTACTATAAAAAACCCCCTCAAAGTACATAAATTTGTTGTTGTGGACTGTAATGGACAAACACTCATGGAGAGCTGGAATACTAAACCCTTTTAAACAAAGATATGAATTTTAAAAGACAAAAGTTAAAGCGATAACGAATCAAGGAATACGAATTTTCGCTCTTATGCAACAGGTTCGTTTATGTTAGTTACTTTTAGTAGAGGTTTTACAGCGCTGCAACTGGAAAAGGTCATATGAGCGCCAGAAGATCAAACGTGTTACAAGAGAGTAACAAACATAAAAAAAGAAGAAAGGGAGATAAGGATGATAGATGTTTGATAGGAAAGAAGAAGTAAACCACACCAGAGCACCCTCCAACCACCCACTCGGTTAGGCTTGGAGTATTGTTCTGCGTTATAGAAATTCTCAAGACAAACTACCGTGAATTCCCTCGCGGGCCAGATATCATTGTTGGCCGGGTCACATGTGGCCCGTGGACCTTGAGGTTGACAAATATGTGTCACGACGCCGTGGAATCAGGCGCTCGTCAATTTTTGGGCATATGAAGTTATTGGTATCATTTGAAAGCTGATATATTTGCCTTGCTTCTAATGAAATAAATATCCATTCATCCTGAATAGAACTACATATATTTGCGATTGAAGAAAGTGGAGTTGCCTGGTTTCAGTGAAATTAGCGAGAAAATGGCCGCAAAAGTTTGGTAACTCCAATAGCTAAAGAGTCTTTGAAAACTGAAAAATGACATATTTTGTGCCTTAAATCAACGTTTATAATATAAACTTTATGAGTAAAATTCACCGGGAAATGTGTTAAGCCCAAAAATAAAAATTCGATGAAACCTCCCAAACCAGCTGAAAAAAAAGCCAGTTTCTTACACTTTCATTATTTTGACGAGCGCCTGATTTCAACATGCTGCCTCACATGATATGCTATAGACTGATAAATCGCTGATTATCTTAAATACATCATGCGGGGACTCCAGAGGCCGAATGACTAGTGTGAAAACTTGTGTCAAGCAATGTTGGTGAAACGGCATTCATGTTGGTGGATATTGAGGAGTGTTCTTGAGTAAAGCATGAAAACCCTAGCTAAAAAACAGAGCCGTGGCGGGTGCAATGGCGTGTTAATGAATTTGCTTTTTGTATTTTGTTTGGTTTTGTGTATGATGTTATGATGTTGATGTAGCCTCATAATCATATCCCGTGTTAACCTATTTTTTGTTTTGTTTCAGTAAGAGTTTTTTTTTTTAAATGTCAGAATGATACTGGATAATAATTCTTCCCACTCGGGAATCGAACTCGGGCCCTCTTTTAGCTGCACGCAACTTCGAAGTTAACAGCCGTTCCACTGAAGGGGAACATTTGCGTAAAGTGTCTTTCTCAAGGCCACATTGTCGGGCCTACGCTGTAATTTGAACCCGCGACCCAACTGGGGGAGTTGTATTGCCTAGAGCCAAGACTATCGATCTAAGTTAGTTTGTACGCTTCCCTTGTTCCTGTCTTCACGTCTATTTACAAAACAAGACAAGACACATGAATAAGTAAAAATAGCCTACACGAGAACGTTGACAATGCCACTACATTCAGACACCTTTTGGTGAACATAAAAGGTTGTTGAGTTAACGGCGAATTAGCCCAGTACCAGCGATAATTTGACAGAAAAACAGTCCGACTGGAAGAAAAATATAAGGAGCAAGCGTCAAGACAGTATCTTCCAATACCTCATTGTGAAGGTGTATCAGAAACAAAGGAAGTTTTTTTCTCGAAAGGTTTCTATTTAAAAAAAAAAACAATCCAGAAAACGAAACAAAAGTGACCGCTGTGATAATGTACACATACACAGGACTGAAAGAGGCTGCGAGAAATAGACATCTTTGCATATAGAGTGAGAAGAGAGTAATAGGCAGACTCTAGATAGTTAGCCACGGCTTATACAAAAAAGTGACTGTGTGAGTGCATGCGCGCGCGCCTATTTATGTGTGTGCGTATGTGTGTGTGTATGTGTGTATGTGTGTGTGTGTGTGTGTGTGTGTGTGTGTGTGTGTGTGTGTGTGTGCGCGCGCGCGTATGCGTGCCTCCGCATGTGTGTGAGTAAGTGTGTATGTGGATGGGGGAAGGGGGGGGGGAGGAGAGTGTAATTGCAAGCTTAACGATGCATGAGGGGAAAGGTTTTTCTTGGTAACTGAGACATTGCGGGTGAAATTAGCCGTAAAATAAATGAGAGGGTACAAAAAAGCAGCAAATGAGAAAAGAGGTACGGGGGAGGAAAATTGGGGGGCATGAGGGTTGCGTAGCACGAAGATAACATTTCAACGGTACAACATAATAATATAAGATGAAAGAAGAAAAAAAGGAAATCAAAGAACAACGGATAGCGTCTTTCGTTTTTATCAGAGTCATATTGCGAACTCTGTGCTTTCTTGTCCTATCTTCATTTTTAATACATGTAACAGTGAAAACAGTTCATAACAAAGAATGAGCTTAAGAAGAAGTCACATTTTCACTGTTAAAACATGGAAATAGAACAAAAAATGCACTGAGATCGCAATATAATTTCTCGAATACGTCAGGGAATTTCATGGTCATTACGTATGCTCTTTTCACTGTTGCCTCTATACATTAATGTCACGATGCGGTTGAATCAGGCGCTCGTCAATTATTGGGCCCGTGGAATCATTGGTATCAGCTTAAAAAGCTGGTTCATTTGTCAATGTTTTGATGAAAAAAATACCAATTCAGCTTGAATAAAAGACGAGATATTTGCGATTGAAGGAGGTGGTGATCACTTGGTCTCAGTGTAAAATTATCAAGAAAATGACCGTCCAACTTTGGTGACTTCCAAAGCTTGAGAGTCCTTGAAAACTGAAAATTTACTTTTTTTGAGCCTTTCATCAACGTTTTTCAGAAAAATCAACCTAGTGCTGTGTTTCTAAATAGAGATAAAAGGTGCGGAGCCAAGACACAAACAATTCGATAAAAATTGGCAAGCGGGCTAAAAAATGCGGTATGTTAAATTTCATTATTTTGACGAGCGCCTGATTTCATCACGATGCCTCACATTTGCGTTATCCAGGAAAGCGGACATAAAATAAAGGGAGAGAAAAATAGAAAAGTAGAGACAGATAGATAGATAGATCGATAGATAGAAATATATAAAACATATAGATAGATTAGATAGATAGACAGATAGATATTGTTTGACTGTAAAAGTGTATGATATGTGGGTTTGAGTGCATGTGCTTGTTGCGTGTGTATGTATGTAAGTATGTGTGCGCGTGTGGGCATATATGTGTGTGTGTGTGTGTGTGTGTGTGTGTATGTGTGTGTGTGTGTGCGTGTGTGTGTGTGTGTGTGTGTGTGTGTGTGTGTGTTTGTGTTTGTGTTTGTGTGTATGTGCATATGCGTGCATGTGTGTATGTATAAACGTCTCATTTTTATTAATCACAAAAGACATGGTTTCCATGATCAAGTGAAAGTGGTTCTATTTGTGTGAAAATATTTCAATATTTATTATTGAAACCATATAACGTGCTAGATCATAAGCGCATGCGTCCATGTATGCACTTGAGTGTTTGTTTGTACGTTTGCACTGGCACAATAAGTGGAAAGACCCTCAGTGACATTTTGGAGAGAGCAACGGAGCATCAATGGATATGTCCGGAATGCAGAGAGGTTGCTTCCTGAAACAATGAACAAGTGTACGTGTGTAGTATTCTTACCTGATCTGCTGTGCTCCGTGTAGGCGCTGAGCTGTGACAACCTTGACATTGAGGACACACCGGAACACATGCTGCCTGACCGGATGCTGGCTGAGGCCGGAGAGAGAAGGTCAAGTGACGTAGCCTGGAGAAGAAACGGATCTGGTTACGTTTTGTTGTTTACGTTTTAACCCTATCCGAACGCCTAGCGGTCATTTTGACCCCCCCCCCCCGCCCCCGGGATGTATTCTTCACATTTTTAGAATACTTCTAGTACGAAGATCTCTTTGAAACTTTCCGTATTTCTCAAAAGATCATTTTGACAGACTGCTAAACAAAGCGTACGGGTCGGATTAACGAGTACCTTTCCTCTTTGGAGAGTGGAGGCACAAAGTTCACACGTCGTATAGATACGACAATAAAGCACGACGTACGGATAGAGTTAAAGTTTTTCTGAATTGTTCTTAAAAGACAGGGAAGGAGAAAATCAAACTCAGCAACCCTGCCAGACGAACTAGTAATCAGTTACTGATGGAAACCTTCAGTATGACAATCTTAAGATGGACCCTCCTGAGGAGGGAGCAATGAGTCGTGGATAGAATCTGTCTTTGAAGACCCCAGTTCTGGAATCAAGTAATCACGTAAGTAATCTAAGCTTAGAAATTAAACTCCCTCCCCCCCAAAAGATGCCCACCCCCCCCCTCCTCAAAATCAAATTATGAGTCAGAACATTCGATGCTGAGATATGATTAGGCGGATGGAAAAGGGTGGGAAAAACTGGAAATGAGAAATGTCTCAACCCCCATTCTGGTTCGAACCTCACACATTATCCGTTAACGAGCCCAGTTTCATTTCATTCATTTAGCTGTTTTGTCGCATTTGGTCACGACTTTGTATAACACAGTGAAGTGTGGAATTGGAAGGCGTAGTATGAACTTTTCACCTTTATAGGAAATTTCAGTCAGCCCGACGCCCGAGTTTTTTTCCCAACCGATCAAATGAGTGTTTAAAAAAAAGTAAATGCAACAAAAGCATAAAAAAGGCCACATTGAGTAGCTACTTTTTGTTTATGAGTATCGTAGGTGACCTTTTTGAACTTGTCCTTTACTCCTATGACAACATTCATCAAGACGGCAGTTCCAGTCAGCAATCAACACGTCATATAGAATACCAGATGAACGAACAATGACTCTAACTTTGTGTTACATTTGTTCTTATTTTATAAAAGAAGTAAACGCCTTCTTGGAGTATTAATAACAAAAAGAGAGTAATCAAAGACTTTCGCTGAAACTTTGGACTATTCAAAGACTTTCGTTGAAATTTTGGGCTAATCAAAGACTTTCGTTGTAACTTTGGGCCAATCAAAGACTTTCGTTGAAACTTTAGGCCAATCAAAGACTTACGTTGGAACGATAGGCCAATGACTGATCATCTGAGCGAGACAGGGAGCTGTGGGGGGAGTCTGCCGTGCTGCTAGTGAACGCAGCTTGGCCCGTGGGCGTGGCCTGACTGCGGTGGGGCGTGCTTGATGTGTCACACGAAGAGCCATGTGACGTAGTCTCCAGAGCAGAGGGGTCCAGGGTGGCAGCTGGCAGCAGAGAAACGTGTGGGTGGAGGTGAGGGTGTAGGGGAGAGGGATCAAAGGAGTTTAAAAAAAAGTTTCAGTAGAGGTTTTACGGCGCTCGCAACTGCATAAGGTCATATGAGTGCCAAGGGGTGGATGTCAAGAGAGAAGACTTTACAGGGAATCAGGCTTACTTTGCTCACCCCTCTAGCTTCAACAGCACAAAGTCTGCTTCGACAATCAAGGCACCACGGAAATAGCGGGTCACAAGAATGTGACAAACAATAAAAATAAGTTGAGGAAAAGGATGATAGTAAGGATTTGGAAAGAAAAAGCAGCAGATCCCTATTGCAGTTCAGACACAGTTATGAGCGTGACATTGTTGGATCAGCCCATTTACAATTCTACTGTACATTACAAAGAGAAATGTCCCCTCCCCTTTGGGAATGGCCTAAAGACACTTCAGTCAGTGGCATCGCCCCGAGGGGAAGAGAAAGGTGTGGGTGGAAGGGGGGGGGGTGAGGGAGAAGAGGGATCATTGGAGGAGGCGTGGGAAAGTGGGTTCATGGACAAGGGTGGGGTGAAAAGTAATGGCTGCTTTGCCAAATCTTTTTACTCATTAGTTGCAGTATAATGAAATAAGAAAGATATGGTCGAACATACATTACTTGTTAGCCCACTCTCATATAATGGTATGCCTGTTTTCAGATCTAAGGTTTGTGACACTAAAGAGAGGAATAGCAACAAATGTATCATCATCATCATCATCATCATCATCATCATCATCATCATCATCATCATCATCAACAACAACAACAACCACAACAGCAACAACAGCAACAACAACAACAACAACAAGAAGTTCACACAAAGAACAACAGTGACACCTCTACCACCCCTATCACTCTCTCAACCACCAGCAAAAGTGAAAAAGCACTTCTTCGATCATCATATTATCTTCTGTGCAATTGTCCTATCCTTAAAGTAATGATCGTAATCTTTTCCCTTCTTCCCGCTGTTGCTTTTTAAAAAAAATACATAAATTATCATTCTTTGTCTGAAATTGCCCTTCCAGATCATCAATAACCTCTTTTAACTCTGTTTCTGACTCTGTTTGTCTGTGTGTGCGTGTGTGTGTGTGTTTGTGTGCGTGCATGTGTGTGTGTGTGTGTGTGTGTGTGTGTTTGTGTGTGTGTGTCTGTATGTCCTCCTCCCTTTCTTTTTCTCCGTCAGTCAGTGTATTCACCAGCAAGACATTTCAGTACGTCTGTCTGATTTCTTGTCTGATCACCCCTAATTTGCTCTCTATTGTTCTTTCTCTGTCTACCTGTCTGTCTATCAGTCAGTGTGTCTTTCTTAGCCTTTCTCTCGCTTGCTCTGTTTCTGCTTTTCTCGGTGTGTCTATGAGGCTGCCACCTGCCTGTTTGACCCTTCCCCCTCTCCATTCCTCTTCCTCTACCTTTCTTCTTCATACTTTTCCTCTAATCCCCAAATGGTTTCCTGTCTCTTACTATGAATGTCTCATATTCCCCCAAATGTCCCACAATTCCCTTCTCACCCCTGTCTCTCATCGGTGGCATCTCCTGGCTAGCTTGCCTGTCCATCACCAGACTCTCACAGCGCGTTATGATGACGTCAATCCGACTGGCCCCCAGCGTGTCACGTGATTTGGACACTCCTCGCGGGCCTTTCTTCACGGCTGCAGCCAACTCGTCAAGACGGAAGAAACTGCGGATGTTCTTCAAGGACAGGGCCTGGTTGATCTGTCTCCTCACAGCGTTCACGTAGAGAAGGCGAGAGCCCCTGTGGCTCGTGTGTTTCTCAGACTGATCCAGGTCGTTGAGCGAGTACCAGGACGGCGACACGGAACCGGTTTTACTACGGCCCTTTCTGGCCGCTCCTCTTTTCATCCGGGCCAGGTACGTACCCAGAATGAGAGCGTTCGTCGTGTACGTTCGCTGCCCGCCGACATCCAGTTGGGAGATGTTTGTGCTGCTTGCCGTTAGCCGGTACCGGCTGTCTGCCTCCCCTCGACTCAGACTATGCAACAGGCGCGTGTCTTCTTCGGCGTCTACGTCATCATCATTGATTGACGTCAGACACGGCTCGCTGGAGAAAGAAAAACCGCTGGTGGCGAGAAAGGCGTCAAACACTGAGCGAACGAACATCTCGCACGTCTCATTCGTTTTTGTTCTCTCCCCAGAACGTGTTGATGACGTTTGGGAAGGCTCCCCTGGTTCCAACTCGTTCACGTGTTCGATGGTGAAGGTGGGTAAACATCCCAGTAGCGTGGTGTGGATCGCCTGGCGAGCATCAAAGTTAGTGTTTTCCCCTTCTTGTCTTTTGTCGTCGTGTTTTACCATCGATGCCGGACAACCCCGAGGTAGTGGTTCGAAATTTTCGTCCACCCCAAGAATCGCCAACGCCTTTGAACTTGGGGCAGACACACGAACATTCTCACATATGTTTGGACAAAATTGACGGCTGCTATTACCGGGGGTCATTTCGGGTTTCAGTAACTGCTTAGGCATATATTCCATTTTCGATTGCCTCACTGTTGAGACTGTATGGCCGTTTTCGAAATCTGTTGCCTCTGCACTACACACTTCATCACTGGTGATAGAAATGTCAATAGGGTGTCGACCGTTTGTTAACTCATTGACCCCTCCGTCTCTGGGAATTCCCGTCACTGTTTCTTGTCGGGCGGTGGAAGCTAGTTCTTCATCTTCTGGCCGTAAGGAGAGACTTCTGCTATCGACGTCCCAAACAAACGGATCAAAACAAGCGCTGGCCGCTGACATGCCACCGAGCTGACCGGAAGTCCCCACCGAGAGAGCATTTATCGGTACCGTCCTTTCTGCAGACCTCTTGGAGTTCCGGTCACGACGTTCGTCGTATCGATTACCCTGGCGTGACATGTAACTCTCTAGAGTCTGGCATTCGAGACAAACTGCCAAAGGATCAAATGTGATTGGGAGACGAAAACCAGATGTCGGATTGGTTTCATGCAAATCAGACACGGATTTGACTTGTTCGTCTGCCTTTGATTTAATTTCTCCCCGCTCCTTACAACTCATATTCTTTCTGCTTCCCTCTAGAGGTGCTAATTTGTCAGCCTGCCATATTCCCTCTTCTCGTGTGAACACATAGGGGCGATTGATTGCACGTATTCTGTATTCATCTGAGACTTTAAGCACTGAGGTGGCATCGATCGACAGCAGCGCTGTATTACCAGTTGAAACCCAATATGCCAGAGGCTCGTTTGTTGACAGAGAAATGAAGTGAAGACTGTGAGTTGAAAGTGAGTTAAAGAAGATTGAATTAGAACCGGCCGTGAATTGAATAGTTTTGTTATCTTCTGAAAACAGCAACGTGATAGGCCTTAGGTCTAAGCAGTTATAAATTGAGCGCGGGTGAAAGCGTCCAGGTCGACACGGGAGGCTGTGAGGTCGGAGTAGAAATCGTGCACTATCTGAACAGCTGTAAACAATTGGTTCTGACGTCGAAAAGGTGACAGCTTCTGATTGCTGCGACAGGAAATGAAGTCTGGAGCTGAAAAAGTTGCTGCCTGTGTGGTTGATACAAAAAAGTTGAGTGACACATAAATTTAAGTTTGTTGTGTGTGGCCATTGAGGATAGTTACTTGGCCGACCCGATTTTCTGGGGAGGGAACACGTGTCTATTCCTGTATATTGAAAATCGTTAAAAATCGTTGTTACAACCTTGGCTGCTTCTCCGATGAGGAGATGTGTTTTAAGGGATGGCTTGGGAGGAGGGCATCGAGAAGTTCTACACCATGATGGAGGGGGATGCAAGTCTGGCGGGGCGATCTGAGATGGGCGTTCACCCAGGGCCGACCCACTGCTAAGTTCCGAGAACAAGTCAGAACTTTGAGAAGCGTACGGGGGTGAGCAGTGAGATGTTGTGCAATCCTTGGTCTTTGTTTCGCGTGTAGTGCTTGCTATGTCTGGGTATGGAGAGAATGTCGAATAGCAAAGGAGATATGCATTCAGATACGTGAAGCAGACTGGTGATTTCGAGGTATCCCCCGTCATATTGAAAGAACACATCCCAGGCTGAGGTGAAAATAGATGTAAACAACCAACGCGGTTTGGATAATATAAATCGGTCAACATTCTGTTAGTTGACTGGATTGTGAAACTATGATTTAACTGAAATAGTCCAGACGATAGCATTTGGTGGAACGATGGCAGTAAGGGCGAGGTGTCAGCGGAAGTTGTACATGTTGGTTCTTGTTTATTTTGGCCACAGTGCGTTGGGTTTATGTTAACAAAGTTCCTCGAAGATGTTTTCGAAGTAAGGTCAGGGTCACACAATCCCGTACGTATTGAATTGTCTTCTACGTCACAGAGTTGCCTTTTTGAATTAACACCAGGAGAGGCTATCTTGCTCATCATTTCGGCTCCTGGAATACGGGTACATTGATTACGTAATAGGTCGTGGGCACAGCGGTCAGTCTGATCAGGGAGTGAGCGGCTTACGGACGTAATTACTGCACATTCCGTTGTGTCTGTCTGGTGGGAGCTTGGCTCATTGTTCTCTTCCACAACAGTCACTGTTTCCGGACAATAGCCGGTAATTTCCGGGCTGTTATCAGATACCACAACGTTCCCGGACGGAAGCACGTGACTGCACTGTTTACCAGCACCGGGGGATTCTAGGCCATGCTTTCCTTGTTTAGTGCACGGCGAGTTGTCAGTTGAAGAAATAGGATTGCTGCCGTTTGTCAGTTCTCTATCTCCATGCGTTAGAGATGAGCACGGGTTTGCAAGAGAACTAGCGATGTCCGCAGGCTGAAAGGACGGACTTTTATTTAAGGAAACCCCCCTCTCATCGCTGTGTACAGGCTTGTCACTTTCAGAGATCTTCTCTGCCGTCAGGTAATTCTTCCTGTTGAAGTCAGTGGGGTTTACTGAGACAGTGGAAATATTCGATGTCACACTGTTATTAGCGCACCATTGTTCAGACCCTTCCGCTTTTTTCTGACGGGCCTCAGCGCGCAGAGATAGCAGGTCAAAGCCTGTAATAGCACTGGGATTATGACTCGTGTTTGTAGCCCGGGCGGTAATCACTTCATTTGCATGGCTGCCACAGCCGCGGCCAGAGCCCGCTGGGACTCCGTTTGTCCCGAAATCACTGTTCTCTGAGGCCAGGGGTTCCCGTATGTCTGTTTCCCCCATCGACGAATCGTGCTGAGAAAAGAACAACGGATGGTATCGATTAGCCTGTTCTAACGAGTGGCCACTTGTATTACAGCTGTCTTTGAGAAGTCTTTGATTTTCGCTACACGCCTGTCGTTGTTTGGAACCTTCCTCTCCCTTCTCCCAAATAGAATGACTCAAATCCTGTCGGTGGCTCTCAGAATTATCCGTCCCTGCTGCCGTAACATAATTGTTATGTCTGGATTTAGAAGGCCAAGAATAGGAACAGAATAGTGGGCAGCTTTTGGAAACTTTTACTCGATATAGCCGAGCGCTGTCCGAGCTCTGTGGGCGAAACAAGGGATGACCATTGACATCGCCCTCTGACTTACATAAATGTTTTTGTTCCAAGAGCCCCGAAAGCAGCCCTGAGCACTTTTCTAAAACACTGTTCTTGAAATCTGACGAGACATCCTTGAGCCCCACTTTAGCACCCCCATTCCCCCTTTCATCCACCCCTCCACTCATTTGGTGTGTTCCGCCAACAGTAGCCTTTCGGGTGGGATCAATGGCTGCTCTTTGAGGCTCTGCAGATTGAAAGTTTTGTTCTCGACAAAGCTCGGAACTCTCGGGTCCCGAGGGAGTCGTGGGCCGTGCAGTCCTTAAGGTCAAATGAGCTCTATACAAATGACTGTCCTTGTCTCTAGAGGTATTTGAAGGTTTATTCATTTGACGCTCGTCCTCTGTCTCTGCTTTGTTTGTAATTACAGAAGGCGTGAGTGTTGAACAGTGCGAATGCTGCGGGCGATTATGTTGTTGCTGGCAGATCGATAGCTCACTGCTCTCTGATGTTGACGTATCTTTTATTACTGAGTGATAGGAACTTGTTTGCTCCACGGGACCGCCCTGAGTGCTAGAAAATAATGAGGGGGAGATAATCACTTCGTTATCGGAGCCTTTGTCTGGCGTTTTGTGGACACATGAATTTGGAAGGTTTGATTGGATTGAGTGGAGAATGTTTCGGTGACCATATTTACATTCAGTTGTTTTGGAATGAGGGCCTGTCTGCTCACCACTTGTCTCTCCGCTGATGTTGACTCTACCTTCATCGTCACTTTTATGTGCGTTTCGTTTATCCACTTCATACTCACAACTATGATCAGACCTCTTACCGATCGGGGATGAGTCAAAGCGTTCATTTTTCTTGCAAACACAACAACCATTTGCGTCTGTCAGTCTCAGAGAGAGGAGATCACTTTTTCCCAACAGACTCGCACAACTTTTGGGTAAGCCTTTCACTGTAGACTTTGGTCGTGAATTATTACACAACAATTTGCTAGTCCTAGATGGAAGTGGGTCATGGGTTACGTGCATATCTGGACAGTAACCATCTTCGTTGTGTCTCTCTATCATCATGGCTCTATCTTTGGAATTTGCATCTTCACAAATTAAAGTGTCCACACCGGTACCTTGTCTCTCCACAGAATTCTCCATCCTGGGATTACACGGACAGATAAGCAAGCTATTGCTTAGCAACGGTACTCGTCTGCCCTTGACACGTTCGTCTTTATCAAGCGTGTCATTATTGTCCTTGCCCACTGGACAATCGATAGTGGCCGTGGTTTTGGAAGTAAGAGGAGGGCTGACGGTCGCACTCTCGCTTGATGATGTCTCACCCGCATTGGGATAACAGCTAGCATTTCTTTGTGAAGATACGTTTTCTTTTCTTAGTTTTTCCAGAGATCGAAACTTTTTATTTTCACGTCTGTGGGTGATCCCAGAGTTTTTTACAGCACACGTTAAAACCTCCGCAGATTTAGATTTGCTAAAATTGTGCCTACAATATCGTGAGTGTAGGCGATTCGATTTGACTTCGGTTATCAGGGGGGTTAGCTGATGGGAGACATCACCGTTCCGACATATTACGCTTTTAGTTCTTTTCGCTGGGATCGTTGAATCACAGATTGATTCTTGAGCACATTCTTTGTGGTTTCCATGTGCCTGCCCCTTCAGAACAAAAGAACCGTCATCTTGTATTACGTAATTCAAGGTCAAAGGGCACTGTGGCGAGATTTCTTTTTCTCTATCACCGCGGGGCAATGTGACGGCCGGTGTCGATTTTGTCTCTGAAGTGTCATTATCGATAATGTCGAAAAGAGATGGAGTTAAAGGGGCGAAGGTCGGAGACGAATGCAATTGGCAGGGAAGAGTAACGTCAAGTTCTGCCCCAAGGAGAGCATCTGTTTCAGCAGGGCCCGCTTTATCGATCTGTGTGGAAAACCTTCTCGGTTGTCCACGAGTATTTTGAGTGCTCTCTCCGCCATGATAACGGGGTAATGAATTGAAACGCGACTCACTCGTGGACCCAAGATCTCGTTTGATTTCGTTATCTGATAAATCTTGCTCCTCGTCAGCGTTTTTCGCCCTTGGATGGCAACTGTGTGTGAGAGTGGACTCAATATGTTTACCCTTCCCGATCATTGTTTGGCCACAGATTGATTCCTTATCCTGCAAAGAAGAGAGTGTTTGGAAACACATGTCATCCTCAGAACTGACGTTTATCATATCTGTGCTCCGGGTGTCATCTGTGGTCAAGTTTCCACAGACTATACTTTGTCCCGCATTGCAGTTTTGGGAACAAGACGGCTCATTCCTTTCTTCCTTGTAGCTCACCAAGTCTTTCACTCTCCAACAACTAGGTATATCTGTTTGATCTATTTGGCAGAATGTCTGATTAGTGCAATTATTGATGTCGGCCTGCAGAAGAGATTGTGAACTGACAGAACGTTCTTGTTCACCGCAAGGGGCACTTAGGGAAATACTAGGGACGTCAGAAACAACATTGACTGTCAATGGCAAACTAGCTCCTCCCTTTGAAAAACTGCCAGGTTCATTTTGAGACCCGCTAGGAGGCAACAGTGGCAAGACAACTTCTGAATCTGAATCATAATCCCGAGATGAAACTTTTACCCGTCTGTTTTTATCCCCACAGAGGACTCTCATCTCTATGTCGGCTGTTTTCTTAGTTGCACGACTCTCTAGCGAAACAACAGTTTCAGCAGAGATTGTCGAACTGACTTTCTTCTGAGAAAGAGGGGCGAGATAAGAACTATTAAAACAGTTATACTCATCAGTTGTGAAACCAGACGACGGAGAGAATTCACAACAACTAATGGCAGGTTCTAATACACTCATCTCGTGACAGGGGCTCAGTAAAGACGATGACACTGATTTCACCAAACTGACGCCCACTGCTGAGTGGGTCAACCGCTGGCCGGACAAAGAAGCTGTCTCATGAGTGACCGACCCGTCCCGAGACCGACACTGAAGAGCGTGGTCAAGTTTCTTCTTACTCTCCTCCAAACTCTCCTTACTGGCGACCGCGCTCACATCATCCGCATCAAGTCCTAGCTTCCTGGGAGCGGAGTCCCCGTCTGAGGGTAGGCTAAGCCTCGCTCTCACCCACGGACCCAAAGCCGACAGGCGCCGAGTCCCTCCTAATGAGAAGAGGGAGAACTTACGACGACCAGAGGACATTCTCCCGCCTCCGTTAGGATCGTTGACGTTGGAGATAGCCTGGATGAAGGCGGGTATCTGCATGAGGTGTTTGCGACGCAGTGCGTTCTCCTTGTGTCGTTTGATCCTGCGCTGCACAACGATGACCACTTTACTGTAACAGAAGGTGACCACCAGGAACATGAAGATGTAACAGGTGAACGTCGCAAACAGATGGATTTTCACACCTGCGAAGAAAAGAAATTCCAAGAATATTATTATAGTCACTGCTTCGATTATTTACATACGCGTGGACAAGGAAGAAAGAGAAAGAAAGAAATGCTGAATAGATATATAGATAGATAGATAGATAGATCGATAGATCGATAGATGATAGATAGATAATCAGATAGACAGATAGATAGATAGAAAGGAAGAAGGGAGGATGGATGGATTGATGGATGGGTGGATGGATGGAAGGATGGATGGATGGATAGATAGATAGATAGGTAGATAGATGGATATGTAGATAGATAGATAGATAGGTAGATAGATAGGTAAGTAGGTAGGTAGATAGATAGATAGATAGATAGATAGACAGATAGATAGAAAGAAAGAAGGAAATATAGATAGATAGATCGGGCGTGGGTGAGTTTATTCTCAACAAACTTGTTCACAAATAGTGTGGTTAAGAAGGGGTGATAATAGCAAGTATGTGTAATTGTAGCCATTGGTTTGATTGGAAAAGATACCAGAACATTACCTACAAACGTGTAAAAAGATGGGTAGCTTGACATTAGATTCGCATTGAAATAACACATATCAAATTCATACCATTCTTGCAATTCTTTTAAATGTGAATGTGTCATTGTGGACAGTATTGTGTGCTGTTGCTGCTACTGCCCTAGATGAGGGTGGTTGGCGGGTGCTCTGGTGTGGTTTGCTCCATCTTTCCTATCAAACATCTATCGTCCTTATCTCCCCTTCTTCTTTTTTATGTTTGTTACTCTCTTGCAACACCTCTAATCCCCTGGTGCTCACGTGACCTTATGAAGTTGTGAACGCCGTAAAACCTCTACTTCAACTAAAACTAAACTGCCGTAGATGATTGCATGCAAACACACGCACGCGCAAATACACCCTTATACATTTGCAGGTAGGTGTGTACCCACCAGTGGTACTTTTAGACACTTCAATCATTCTGACGTACAAAGTCTGTGAATCAACGTGAAAACAGCCAACTTGTGTCCCATGAGCACTTTTGACCGTACGCATCTGCAATCGCTGTAAAACTTTAACCAAAACTAAAATTGCATTATATTATAC